AGGTTGGCCGTGAGCTGAAATCAGAATGAAAACCTCGAAGCCAAGCACAAAGCAGTGGTACCAGAGAGCATTAAATGCCACCAGACACCCCCTGCAAGTGCTATGGTGACCATGTGGGGCTTTCCTCGTTAAGTGGCATTTTCAAGGCTGGCTGCCTTGCTGGCCTTATCACAGCAAACCACATGTGGGGAGCAGAGTGGGGCTTTGCAGCATTGCTTGGCTTCTCCAGAAAGGGACTGGCTTCTCATCTGCAGGCCGGGTGCGGTGGACAGGGCCGGCTGGGTTCCCCTGAAGGGCTTACCCTGCCTCTGGAGGGGCCAAGTGTCCATGCCAGGCAGTAAGTGATAGGCCTGGATGCACCAGCGGAAATCATATGATTGGAAATCTCTGTTGTGTTTTGCAGAGTGGGTGGGCAGCCAAGCAAGAGAAGGTGAGGACATGGATTGGCACAGGGGAGCTGCTCAGAACTCGGTCCAGCTGGGAGCCTCACTGCTCCCCCACCAGGCCGGCTTCTGCATGCGGAAGGCATTTTCCAAAATATAGACAGTATGTTTGTATGCACATCTTCACAGATGTGCTTCCCAGACTGGATGATGCACCTGTACACTCCAGTCCCTCTGAGGCAGGGACTCAGGAGCTGCTGCTCCTCCCAATAGTCCAGGATCCTGACCATTCGGGTGGCAGGACAAGCCACCAGACTTATCTACCTGCACAACAGTAACAACAGGAGAGAGCACAATGCCTGCAACAGTGGACTCACAGTAGTGACTGCTCCACTGGCCAGCTGTGGACCTGCCTACTCACCCCAGGGAGACGCACAGACTGGCAGGCCTGGGGAGTTACTGCCCCTGGTGGGCGTAAACATTGGAGAACTATGTGAAGTTAGTGAGGTTTTTTTAGGGCTTGTGGGGCTAAGTACCTCCAAAATGTTGACTACCAACAATTTCATGCAATCCAACCTAATACTTTGGATCCTGTACTCTTTATCTTTTCTTCCCAAATCACTTTACTAATCAGGTTTTTTACATGGAGGTGGCTTGTTGTGGCAGAAGGTGAGGCTGAGGTTGGGGCCTGGAAGCTGTGCTATGCCAGAGAAGGCAGAGGCAAGAGGGGGCTGGTGTGCACAGTCAGGGAGGCAACCAGGGGCCGGCTGTTCACCAGCATACCTGCTAGGCACTTCCTCTCTTATCTGAAATAGTAAGTCCATTTGGGTAACTAAAAGAACTTCGTAAAATGCCCAGGTCACTTCCCCAGGAAGGTGACAGACTCTGTGGGAGATGTTCCAGCAAATTTTTCATGGCTGCTGGTTCTGTCATTTAACCAGCACTTGCTGAGCACCTACTGTGTGTCAGCTGTGGGCTCCTGGGAAGGCAGTCAAGGCCGTGCATCACCATCTGTGTGTACCATATTCCTGAGGCAATTGCACTTCTTGACAGTGATCAACACCTGGTGATAGGTGCACAAAGACAATGGCGACAGCAATGCTGTAGTAGTGAAAACTTGGAAACAACTTCAGTGTCCATCCATGGGGGCTGGATTAATTAGGTTTATTAAATCCAAACTATGGACCCATTAAAAAATGATGATGGAGACCATATCAATCATAGCATTTGCCATGGTATCTAGTTGAGGAGAGGACAGGTTGTATCTACATTATCTTATTTTTAAGACAAAAAACAATTGCATATATGCCAAGGAAAGGGTAGAAGAAAATGTCCACCATGGTGTTAAGGAAGACTGTCTCTGTGGTAATGTTACGAGTATGCTGTAGTTTCTTTATTTTACTTTGTTATTGTTGTCCTAATTTTGTATGCTATGTGTGTATTTCTCAGAAAAGAAAAAAGACAAAGCAGTTTCCAGGGTGGGAGTGGGGAGGCAGCAGTCCAGCCCCACAACTCACAGATGTGCTCAGTGCTTGCTTCATGGGCCCCCACACAAAGGCCCAACCCATCTTGGAAGACAGGGAGCTGCCATTGCTGCGGGCAGGCTGCACAGAGCTGACACTGATGCCTTTCAGGCCTTTACTTAGCAGTGGGAGGCCAAGCAAGCCCCTGACATCCACTTAGCACCACTAGTTGTCCTTCTGGGGCTTCTTGAACTTGAGCTCCTGTTCTCATGAGCCATGTAGTAGCTCTCCAGGGACAGGGTGACCTTGGCAGCTATTTGTATCCCTCTCCTCTGAGGTTCAGTCTGTAGGCCACTTGACCTTGGTGGTCTGCTCTACCCCATTGAGGACTGATTCACACTCATCATGACTCAGTGAAACCCTGAGGCCTCCGGGGTGGTGTGCTGGCTTTGGGCAAGTTGCTAAAGTTGTTGGAGCCTCAGTTTTTCCATCTGGAAAGCAGGCATGATTAAAAAAAAAAAAAGCCTCCTCAAAGAGCTTTTATCACCAGATGCCTTGGGGATGGGGGAGGAGATGTCTCATTTTTGTACTTTATAAATTTTGCACAATGTGAATGGATTACTAGCTAAGTCTGTTTTCTGTTGCAATAACAAAATACTGGACTGAATAATTGAGTAAGAAGAGAAGTTTCTTTGGCTCATGATTTTGGAGGCTGGGAAGTCCAAGAGCACAGCACCAGCACCTGGTGAGGGCCTTCTCGCTGCCCCATAGCATGGTGGAGGGCATCACACAGCGAGACAGCAAATGTTCTTTCTTTCTCTTTCTCTCCCCTCCCTCCTCTCCTTCTCTCTTCATCTTCTTATAAAGGCACCAGTGCCATCACAGGGGTCCCACCCTCTGAATCTCGCTTAATCCTGATTACCTCCCAAAGACCTCACTTCCGTATACCTCTAATATATGAATTTGGGATTATGCTTCCATGGGAGTTTTAGAGTTTTGGACAAGCATTCAAACCATAGCCATTATCAGCTCAAAGAAGGAATGATGGGCAATGATAGGCTTTCCAGAGGGGCCTCTATGCACTCCTGTGTGTCCAGGCCCTGTGGTTCACACCAGGGACGTGGTCTAGACATGGTAGTCTCATACCCAGACTCCACAACATAAAGAGGTAATCCCCATCTATTGGAGAACTAGCTGCACAGCTGTCAAACAGTTAGTGCTGTAGCGTTAGTGCTGAGTTTAAGCAAACTTAGTACTAGAGTTGAGTTTCTGCAGCAGGCACAGAAAGGACTCAGAAAACCAGCCAGGCAGGTTCGATGTGGGGAACACAGTATGTTCTTTTGCCCTGTTGGAGAACCCTGCACACATGAGCATATTGAAGGCTCTGAGAAATCCTACAGGAACAGCTTGGTCTAACCTGGCACTCCTGAGTGTCCATTATCAGGGAGCTCTCTTTCTGTCTCTCAGTTTTGCCCGGCTCTTTATTAACATCCCACTGTTGATGTGGTGCCAAGGAAGTAAACTTGGGACATCTGCTCAGAACCACCCAGGCCTTCTCTCCTTTAGCAAAGCAACATCAGCCCCCCCACACTCCTGCCCTCTTCCTCAATACCCTGGACACGCTTCCTTCTCGAGGGGAGATTACGGAGCCCTCAGCGCTCTGAAGTAGGCAGTAAGAGTTTAGGGGCCTTATCTCAGTTGCTGCTCTGAATTCTAATCTCAGGCTTTCTGAGATACGGGTCCTTTCTAGCCTGTGCAGAAGCCCTCAGGAAGAGCTTCCAAATCCTGTGATGCACCCTGGCCCAGCTCTTCCTTAAGCCTGGTGTCACTCTGCCCAAAGCCTCCACAGGGAGTAGAGGGTGCCAGGAGGAAAGCAGGTGGCACCTAGCAAACACCTTCTGGGTGCTGGGTGCCCTGCTGAGCCCTCCCCCTTTCTCAGAAGCCCTACTGGTCAAGCATTATTATCACACTTCACTAGTGAAGAAACTTAGGCTCAGAGAGAGATTAATTAACTCACCCAAAGCCACACAGCTAGTGTGTATGAAAGTTACTATTTGTTCTGCCTTGTTGGAAGAGCAGAGCAGGAGAGGGGAGCCTGGATGACCATGCTGGGAGTAATCAGGGCACAGAGGTTCCTCTGAGAGCCCAAGGCTGCATGTCCCAGACCTGGAGCATCTCCTGCCCTGTCATTCCTGTTCGGGATGAAGGCAGACATCCTTAGCCCTTGAGGATGTCCATCTTACCAACTTAGGGGTGATCTCTTCCACAGGGAAGAGATGAGATTTTTTTTTTTTAATGCAACTGCTTGGGACCTAGCCAGTGTCATCTGTTTCCTCTGGGTCTGAGTGCCCCTGGTGGGGGCTGTATGGGGAGGAAAGGGGCTCCCAGGAGGCCCAGGTCCTGAAGAGGACAGAGCCGAGGCAGAAAAGAGGGAGAACTTGCCAGTGGCTATGCCCTGGGGACAGCCTGGCCAAGCCTGGAGCTTTGTGGCCTCTTCGGAACTCCTCTCCAGAGGGATTGTTGCACATATCAGCCAGAGGGAGCTGGATAGGAGGGACTGGAAACAGCTGAACCATCAGGGACATTCTCCTTAAAAGCTGGAGCCTGGGCATGGCACCGAGGAGGCTAAGGGACTGGCAGCACTGCAACCACTTGTGGCTGGGCCAGTCTGTCCTGTGCAGCTCCTGGTTTGGGGCCAGGGAGAAAAGATGCAGATGAGGCAGCTGGCAGTGGGAAGCTCAGCAGTGCCTACGTGTGTGGGCTTCCGAGCACCTTTCCATCTCCCAGCAGAGAAGCGAAAGGTTTGGGCCAGGCAGGGCAGATGACTTGGCTGTCTCCAGGACCCTAACAGTTGGAAGGGACAGAAATGATGGCAGTGAACAGTGTTCATAGGCATTTCCTACGTGCTTTCCTGTGCTACCTACTGAGACCTCGCTGTGCAGGAGAGAAGTGAGAGAATGAGGGCATGGCAATGACTGCCCCTTGTCCTGGGTGCACACCCAGGACAAAATTCCCCTTTGCTGTCTGTCCTGGCTCTCAGCCCTCCTGTCCCCTGTCAGGGAGGCAGGACAGAAAATGGGGAGAAAGGGTGGGTACCAAGCAGGGAGGGCTGCTCGTCACCCTGTTCTAAACAGATGTCTTTCCCCTACCTCAGGTCTGGAAGAGATCGGGGGCCTGGTTCTACAAAGGGCTCCCCAAGTATATCTTGCCCCTGAAGACCCCTGGCCGAGCGGATGACCCTTACCTCCGACCTTTGCCCTTGGAGCCTCCAGAGCCTCAGCCCCGAAGCACTGAGGCCAGCCGCGTCTACACGTGGGCTCGAGGGAGAGGTAAGACCACTGTGCCCCTCTGCCAGGATGGTCTTCAGTCACCAGGCCAGAAGCCACCACACTCTCCATGGGGCTTATGTCATGCTTTGTCCCTCCCTGTGCCCTCAGTCCCCACCTGCATCTGGGCAAGAGGGCAGCTTCCACCTCCAGCTCAGTGACAGCTCACTCTGTGCAGCAACAGGCTATAGGGTCCCCTGGGAGCAGGGGCACCGTGAGCAGCACTGTGAGTCTTCGTAGGAATGTCATGCCAATAGGGGACTTTGAGAGGTCTGAAAATACATCTCCTAGGCAGGCCTAGGTCACCTTCTCCCTACACTTGTTTTGTGTCTTAGGAAGGGGGGACTTTTAGTTCCCTTGGTTCTAATGAGCAAGGTGACTTTGTGCCTGGTGTCTTGCTGTCTGGTGCTGCACTGAGGTGATGTGGCCCATTGTGATAGTGCCTGGTGTTGTAGAAGACCTCCACAGCGCTCAGGATACGTTTGTGTTTATGGTTTTCACAGCAGGCTTAGGATGAAGACAGGGTGGGTATTTAATGGCCCCATTTTACAGATGAGTAGCCTGACACCCAGAGAAGAGAAGGTTCTATCTCAGCTGGTGTGTGGCAGAGCTGGACCCAAAGGCAGCCCCTTGCCCTCCTGTCCCAAGGTGCCCATGCTTCAGCCCAACACTCAGGCTTAAGGGTCCAAGCCATAGTCAGAGGAGGTGAGGCTCACTGAATGGTAACTTGTCTTTGGGAGGTGGCCCCGTGATAAGAGTCCTGCAGCTGCTTCTTAGGGGCTTGCAAACATCTGTGGGTGATGACAGGCATCCAACTATCTTTATATCATTTGGGCTTTTTTCTCTTTATTACAAGACTACTGCATGTTTACAGTAAACATTTGAAGGCTGTCAAACAATAAACCCTAGAAGGTAAAAGTCCTGTGAGCTTGCAGGCAGAGCTGGCGTGGCTGTGCAGCACCGTCGTCAGGTACTTCATCCCACTGCACTGGGCTCTGTCCATTGCAGCTGTCCTTCCTAACTCTACTGATCGCCCTTTGCCCTTCTGACTGCTGCGAGTTCACCTGCCATGACATAGACGAGCATTTGTGGGGAACCCAGGTGCAGGTGGAAGTGGGGCAGGTCGAGCCCCTGCAGGAGGACAGAGGGAAGCAGCCCACTCAGACACTGCCCTGAGATTACCACGGCCTCCAGCTCTGGGGAAGTAACCATCTTCCATTCTGCCCCTTTTCCAGTCTCAAAGTGCAGGATTTCTCCCACCAAGGCCTGTCAGTGTGTCCTTGTCTCTCAGACTGTGGGAAGGGGCATGACCTGAAAGACAGGAGCCAGTGGACACCAGTGGGTTCAGAATGGGCAGGTTGACGAAGAGAGGCACTGAGGCCTGCGTGAGCAGCTGTGAGCATCCACCCCAGGGGGCCGTCTCTGCCCTGTCTGCTCCACATCAGCACACACTCACAGGCACACACACATACTCACAGACACACTCGAACACACACACACAGAGGCATGTACCTGCCAACAGGCATGCACATACTGACGCACACTCAAAGGCACTCACACAGTTATTCATATGTTCTCATGTATACACACATAGGCACACACATGCTCACAGGTGCACACACACACCCTGGGCAGGAGCAGAGCCCCTCCCTCCTCAGACATGCAGATACACAGGACCTTTTAATTATGAGGGCAAGGAGGCCAGCGGCCCACACACTTGGAATTGGTGCTGTGAGGTAACTGAGTTTGCACCAAGGCCAGGCCATGCCAGGCAGTGCAACAGCTCCTCCATGAGAACCCGTTCTCCCTCTGAGCTACTGGGACACAGAGCCCCCTCGCTTCTCTGTGCCAGGCCTATGGCAGACACATCAAAGCTCTGTGATTGCCAGGTGACCTGTAGCATGTCAGCCCATAGGTTGCAGCTCAGGAAAGGCTGGCATCCAGGCTGGTTGTGGCAGCTCAGGTGGCATCTGTACCCACGCTGAAATGGAGGGTCTGGAGGAAGCAGGAGTGAACTTGAGCAGAAAGAAGAGAAGAGCTAGTGGCAGAGGCCAGGGAGGCAGAGCCTGGATGATAGGAGGAATGCAGAGACGTGCCAGCCCCACAAAGCCATAGTGCCGGGGTCAGCTAGGAGGGGCCGTGGTGAACCACAGATGGGCAACTGTTCTGGAACTGCCTCAAGTCCATGCCTGGGTGACTTCTGTGCCCTCCTTGTTGAGCCTATAAAAAAGTCACAGTCTCTGCTCTCCTTTTTTTTTTTTTTTTGCAGTGCTGGGGATTGAATCCAGGGCCTGGTGCATTTGTTAGGCAAATGCTCCACCACTGACCTACACCCTAGCCTTTTGTTTTTGTTTCTGTTTTGGGGACAAGGTTTCACTATGCAGCCTAGGCCGGCCTTAAACTCATGATCCTCCTATCTAGGCCTATACTATCACACCAGGCCAGTTTGTGCTGGTGTTGGTTGAGGTCAGTCCCTTGCCTTCCCCAGGTCTGGCCACATACTCACAGGGGCACAGGACGATTACCAGGTGCCTGTGGGAGACCAGTCTGGTAAGCGACAATCATCCTTAACGCACAGTCCTGAGCTGAGGCAGAGAGAAGGACCCTCCCAAGTCCTTCAATTGCATTGTGGTAATTCACATGCCCTTATGGTGAGGTCCATGTGGCCTCTATGGAGGACTTGGCCATACCTGCCCCTGGGAAGCCCCCAAGCTTCCAGGAGCTGCTGCCACTGTCCCTGTTCCTCTTCACACTGTTCTCTTGGAGCTCCAGGGAACAGATGAACCTCAGAGGGCAGCCCTGGGAGTCTGGTGCAGGGACATCGCTCCTGTCTAGTCCTCCACCAACTGGGCACCCTGCTGGGGATTTTCCAGCTCTGAGAATGGCATCTCCCATCCCAGCCCCACAATCAGGGTGCCCTTGTGCCAGGCACGACCTTTGTGATCCAGGTCTGAGCCTGGCAGTGAGCACAGCCCTCACAGCACCACATTTGCCAGACTAAGCTCACATGGAAACAGAGTGGCCAGCATTTAGGAACAGGCTCCCCTACCCACCCTAGCAGTGCCATTTGGGCAGAGCCATGTGTGTCCTGGACAGGTCAATTCCTCGGCACATGGCAGGGGGACAACATGGGCTAGATGCTTATCAGATACTGAACAAATGAATGGGCCCCCACCTGCCCCTGGTGATTTGAAAGTTTCCTTTTGAAAGTGGGTGTTTTGTTTGTTTTGATTTGTTCTGTTTTTGGTAGGACTGGGGACTGAATCAGGGCTTCACACTTACAAAGCAGTCTCTCTAATGCTTAAACCACACCTCCAGCCCATTTTGCTCTGGTTATTTGGAGAAAGGTCTCATGAACTATTTGCCCAGGCTGGCCTTGAACCACAATCCTCCGGATCTCAACCTCCCAAATAGCTAGGATTTTAGGTGTGAGCCACCAACACCCAGTTCAAGAAGGGGTTTTCACTGGGTCTGGGCTCAGGGCTGCTGGATGGCTCAGGAGATTCTTGGAGGTTATTAAAGCCACATGCTCTCATGAGGTGCTTCTCCTCCTGGCCCCCGCCTCTGAGGATCCCAAACCAGCATCCTCCTCCTGCCCCTCAGTCTCTCCCACAGGCACAAAGCCAATCCCAGCACCAGCTGGCTCACTCTCTTAGCCTCCCTCTGACCCTCTTCCTCACCCAACTCTCCCCCCCCCACCTCAGCCCTGGGGCTGTGCAACTGGAGCTCCCCCTTCTCCCCACACCCAGCCCACCCTTTCCCATGCCCTGCTAGAGAGGAAAGCTGATCAAAAGGTACAAGCCGTGAACTTTTCAATCCACAGAGCAATCGAGCGAATGTATTGATGTTTCTGAGCTGCGCTCTTCTGCATCCGCCTTTCCATTTTCTCTTTTTTGGCAGCATTGGGGATTGAACTCAGGGCCTGGAGCTTGTTAGGCAGGTGCTTTACCTCTTGAGCAACACAGCCAGTCCATTCATTTTTAATTCCATAAAAATTCCACAAATTAAATAATTTATCACTGTATGAAAAACAATAACCTCATCTCTTCACCATCATTCTAAATTCCTTTCTTACTTTGACTACAAACATGTACTTGATCTAGGCATTTAAATGTTTTAATGTTTTGTTTGCTTTTGCTTAGCAACAACAAAAAGAAATAAGCTCTTACCTATGACTTTTGGTTTTTTCTGTTGCTGTTGGGTTTTTTGTTTATTTGTTTTTTCTTGTTTTGGCAGTCCTGGAGTACTGGGGTTTGAACTCAGGGCTCGTGCTTGCTAGGCAAGAGTTCTACCACTTGAGCCACTCAGCCAGCTCCCTGGAGTCACTTTTTAAAAATTACCACGGGCATTCCTTCAAGCCACTAGATATAGATTTTACTTCACTCATTTTAACGGCTGAATAAAGTCCCATAGTACAGTATATGGTGATTTAATTAGTCACCTATGCATGCCCATTCAGACTGAATCTAGCTTTTCTGTACTGTAAGCAATACTGAAATGTCTTTACACATGTAACCCTACAAGCTGGGGCTTTTGAATCTGTAGGAAGGTTTCCAGAAATGAGGCTGTGTGTTTTAAGTTACAAGAAAACTTGCAAACTTTTTAATGTTCTGTTCATTCACACTCATTCCAGTGAGACCGCTCATTCATCTGTGTCCTTGCTGGCCCGTGGTTTTGTTTTGTTTTGTTTTGTTTTCCCCAGTGCTGGAGTTTGAAGTTTTGAACTGAGGGACTTGGTAGACAAGCAGTCCACTACTTGAACCATGCCCCAGACCATTTGTTTGTTTGTTTGTTTGTTTGTTTTTTGCTTTCAGGTTATTTTTTAGGTAAGATCTCCCGTTTTTTGCCCAGGACCAGCCCAGACTATAGTTGCTCTCCCATAGGCGCCTACATACCTGCCCGTGACAGGCCACCATGCCCAGCTTGTTTGTTGAGATGGGGGTCTCACTAACTTTTTGCCCAAGCTGGCCTTGAACCTTGATCCTTCTGATTTCTACCTCAAG